AGAGGAAGATCAAGCAAATAATGGGAAATAAACGTATTGGGGGAGGTCCACATACCATCCTGCACAATGTCTTCCAGTGGGCAATTCAACTGGACCACTAACGACATAGAATTGTGATGAATCTGATGAGAAGTGACTTGCAGAAGTCTCCTCACCAACAAAGAGAGCCCAGAATAGGCAATATTCAATTTTCATACCCACCCCATCAAGGTAACCAGGGATAAATCCCAGGAAACTGAAGGGTCACAATGAATAAAAAAGCCTTTGTCTGGCACCTCTAAAAGCTTAAGTGAGGGCAACACTAACACTTCAAAGCCCTTAATGGACATAACCAATGATCGGGATTCGGGTGGTCAGAGAGGTGAGAAATAGCAATCAGATGAATCGGTGAAAAGGATTTATCTCCTTCCCTGGCTGACAGTGTCTTAGGTTAGAAGTACCTGTCTGGGTATAGAAAGACATAGGTAGAATGATAAAGTGTACTGGAATGCCTGTAAATATCAAGGGTTGAAGAAAATGGCTTCATGTAACTCATGGAAGGTGGCAGTAGGTAGACGAACGTCCTCCAGCAACTCAGCTCTATCCAACAATTCCAACAACATACCAACCAAAAGATTAGGGAAAGTGCAGAAGCTGACAATCGAACCAAGGTGGATGCTAACAATGATCTCATCTTGTCATCAAATTGATGTGCCGATCACTGAGAGGCTTTTGAAAAAAGGTGTAGTGATGATAAATATCTCAGCAGTGGAGTTAGAGTTAAACGAATCCTAGAAAATTGTGTTCTATTCAGGTTGACCATATACTCAATTCTGGAACCCCAGATTTTCAGGAGCTGGTCTAGTTTCTAAGAGTCTAAATATATTTCCACCATGCAGTGATAGGCTAAAACATGTTGTTCTGACAAATGTGGCAGACAAGTATAGCTGTTCCTTTTAGTAACTGAGCAGTAAACCTCCTTGCATGAACCCCAATATCAGGGGATGGAAAGTGAACTAAGTACTTGCCCTCAGACCTTTCTGTCATCAAGAAAGGACAGATTGAAAAGCAACTGGGGAATGACCCAAAGCATCACACACACTCAATTTATCAACAGAAGAAAAGGAGCCAACTGATTGAAACTGGCATCACGAGATACTGATATAATAAAGGAAGGTGCTGGAAAAAGCAAATCTCCAGAATTTCCTGCAAATGCAGCCTCAGAGCCCCCTGAAGAAACACCACTGGATAAAATGCATGTCTCTATCTCACAACAGATAAGGTCAAGAACAGCATAAACTGAGAGCAACTCCCCCCTAGACATCAGAGGTGGGATAGGAAAGACCTGATTTGCTTCTGTGCTGGATACATTAATCCAGGAATTCATGCCGGATATTGGCTTGCCAAACAAAAAGTTTTTTTATGTATGAAAATCAAATAGGTAACACAAATAATGTTCAAAGTATCTCCAAATGTTGAACAACAGAGAAACCCATTAGTTAATGCTTTGTCAAAAAAAAAGTGACAATATTATCTGCAGGAACTATGTGCTTATATATAGTACCAGGAGAGAGGGCACATTGACATAAGTGGAGAGTGTCACGAAACAGATATCGCTAAGGGCAATAAATGAGGAATAAAAGACTGGATCAAATTAGAAAAAATCATGCCAATGCTTAGGTGGGCAAAGGAAAATAAACCCTAACAGTCGAGTAATAGCTGTAGTGTGAGCTAAGTATGTTTTGAACTCACCTTTCTCTAACCTTGGAGGAGGGCGGTACTTGTTACCTGGTTGACTCCAGTAAACTGGAACAGAACCTCTTACTTGTACAAATGACACTATGTGTGACTGAAATTCAAAAATTTGTTCCGTTTCAACATAATTTGCACAATGTCCAGTTTCATCAACTCCTCGTCTTTTGTATCTTGTTCCTGCTCGATATCGACTTCTTCGAGAAATAAGAATAATATTGTATTCCTTATTCTGTTGTTTCCTCAGTTCTAGAGCAGATGACGTATTGAGTGGGCCACTGACAACTGAAGGTATAGAATTTTCTTCATCAAACATGCTCATAGTACACTTCTGGATCTGAACATATCCTTGAATCACTGGGAGTATCCAGTGGTCAGCTTGTACATCCTGTTAGAAAACAAAAATACAAGTTCTTATACACATTATTCATTTATCTTCTGACCTAATCATTTGCAATGTACTTGTTTTGATGCTCAAAGTAGTTAATTCTTCATTAAATTGCCTTAATTGTTTACAATGAAAATACTAAATTAAATTATAATTAATTTGTCTAAATGGTGTTATTAAAAACTTAATTCAACTTCAATAATGCAATATATATATATATTGCGTACTACAGGCTCAATTGCACATTATTTACATTTGGAAGGTTTTGACACAATGATGTAGAAGATATAGTAACAACTAGTGTTCAATTTGACTTCTAATTTCAATAGGACTGCCTTAAAACTTGGAGGTTTTTATTATATAAAAAAACATTATTCTTCAGGAATGGATGCAGAGAAGATAAATTCAATGAACATAAGAAACAATACTCTATAACAATAAAGGCGTGTTGAAAGAACATATGAAATGACAAAGAATCCCAACACAACAAAATCAGAATGTTTTATAACAAAAATTAACAGCTGAAAGGTCACATGAAACAACAAAGATTCCTACAGCAATTACATCACAAAGTTCTATAATAATAATAAGGATCATTTAAACAATACACAAGTAATTAAAAAAAATTGCAAAAATTAAGTATGATGTAGGGATGGTAATGCCAAAAAGTACAGAAACAAGATAGGAATGAAAACACAAAACCATACTAAAATCACTACATAAGTAGCCAAATCTTTCACAACTAACTTTCATCCACTTTACATGAATTCAGGTTTTAATAAAAGCATTTGAACTGAATAGTGCTATACAGTCTTACAGTAGCTAATAACCATAAGCTTGTAAAATTGACTCAGAACTTACTGGCTACTTATGTAGTGATTTTTGTATGGTTTTGTGTTTTCATTCCTATCTTGTTTCTGTACTTTTTGGCATTACCATCCCTACATCATACTTAATTTTTGCAATTTTTTTTTAATTACTTGTGTATTGTTTAAATGAT